TTTTTCCTACAAGTGGTATATGATACCAGTTGGTAATGCAGGTTATCCCTCTTAAGTCAGAACCTATTCAGAACTACCAGGCTTTTAAATAGACCTTACTTTGGACTGCTCAGTGTAGGGCAAGCGTGTTAAATAAACGAGGCATGCGGCCCACCGGTCGCAAGTTTGACATGCTTAGTGTAGGGTCTAAACACACTGGTGAGACTTCTGGAGTCAGTCCGCAGCGTTCCCTTCATAGACATTTCTGTCACTGGGTCTTGATGGGCACACCTTGCATCTCCTGAACTCCCGATTGCCGCCTAGGTATGAGACAACTTCAAGTGATGATTCCAGCTCAGAGGAAAGCTCTTCTTCCGAGTCAGAGGATGAGTGTGATGTCATTGAGTACCCTCCCGAGGAAGAGGAGGAGGACGAGGAGGACGAAGACACTCGGGGAACGGCGGCAGGGCACCATGCAGTTGATGTGGAAGGTTGCAGGTCCGCCGGGGTGGAAGATGAAATGCAGGTTCAAGAATGTGAACCTGAGAAGGTGGAAATCAGAGAGAGGTGTGGTACATTCCCCTCCCCTCCCTTCAACCCTCCCACGTTTAATGTACTTTGGCAATAGAGTTGGCCGTTTAGGAGATTTTGCAATTGTATCCATTTGTTTATTAGTCTTTCCAATCTCCAAAGGAAAGCTAAACTTGATCTGTTCCTCAGAGATGCATACATCTTGTCATGATATTGATAAGTACCAGTGTAGAAGAAGGTGATCACTCTCAGATCTCTTACAGTAGCAAAGAGAACGGCTTGATGTTTTTGTTCACCTTTATTTCCTTCAACTTTAAGTATTTGTCATCTAATTGTGTACTTGGAGCCACCATCCACAGAGCTATTAGCGCCTCTAAGGTTTCTATTGTTTGAACAACTCACCTTGTATTTAAAGGCATGTTAGAATGCTTTGTGTCAGCACATTTCTTTTAAGGTTTTAGATTTTACCATTAGTCATTTATCTTTTTTTTGTAAATATATTTTATTGATTTTTTACAGAGAGGAAGGGAGAGAGATAGTTAGAAACATCGATGAGAGAGAAACATCGATCAGCTGCCTCCTACACACCTCCTACTGGGGATGTGCCCGCAACCAGGGTACATGCCCTTGACCAGAATCAAACCTGGGACCCCTCAGTCCGCAGGCCAACGCTCTATCCACTGAGCCAAACCGGTTATGGCTAGTCATTTATCTTGATACACTTCTCAGTACTGTTCTCACAGGAGCGTTGTGTGTGAGAGGGACAGTTTTTTGGCCTCAACCAAAGATCACATTTACTGTAAAGATGATGTAACCAGTCACAAGTCTATTTTTGGTTGTGCACTGAGTGATTGGGAACACTACAAGAATGGTTTTTGGAAATATCATAAACAGCAGCTGAAATATCAAGTAAACACTGGTTGGCTGAAACATGCACATAAAATGTAGTAAATTTTAAAGATTTAGTAAATACAGCATCAGTGCCTATAAAACAAGAGAGAATGAACAGATGGAAATTTCAGTGTGGTTTTTCACTATGTGATGTAATAAATAGAACATTTTAGAAAGCTTACCTTTTTTAAAATTTGGCAAGTGAAAGCTTAACTGTATTAAGACAAGGTAAGTACTTTTAGTTTATATGTCCAAGTATTTTCAAATGGCGCAATGTCTTGTCATCTGATTTTTTAACAGCTTTATTGAGATATAATGTATATATCATATGTCCTCTGATTTTTAAGTTTACACTTCACGTGGGTTCAACAAACACATCCTGGGTCACCAAATGTGAGTTCAGACGTGTGGTTTACTGGTCGGTGTAATGGGTATGTGGTAATTCAGGCCTCTTCAACCCCATAAGAATAAGAAATACTTTTAAGAACTCAGAACAAAAGGAATGAAAAATATCCAAATGTTCTTCTACAATAATGTCATACAATTCAAACTGATGAGGCCTAAAGCTACTCTCATGAAAAGCCGTGATCTCTGGTTGGAGGCATTAGCTCTGTATCATAGCATCAGCCCTTGGCCAGCTAGGGACGCCTGGACTACCTCCAGGGAAGCACCTTGTACCGAGCAATGAGCTTGGCTCGGCGTGGGGCCTCTTGTCTGTTAAAGTGTTACAGAGTTTGAGATAAAAATGCCTTTCCTTTTATGGCCAATTGTGAGCTTCTTTCTTTTTATTTTCCCCCCTTTCAGGTATGAATTAAGTGAAAAGATGTTGTCCGCATGCAACTTACTGAAAAATAACATAAATGACCCCAAAGCTTTGACCAGCAAGGATATGGTGAGTCTGGTCTACAGTCACTGTCCCCAGTCTGTGCACAGTGCTGAGTGGACACCCTGGTCACGGCAGCTGTGGCCTGTCCCTGAGTTGTTGTTGCCAGCATGCTTGCCTCCGGGCTATTTCTAGCCTGTGTGGGCAGGGCGAGCATCCTGCTGCCCCGCTCCCTGGGTCACACTGTGAGCCGTTCCCGGAGGCCCAATCTCACATATCCTCCTCGACCCTGTACTTTTCCCGGGGGTGGTGCATCTGTGAGGCATACTTGCACGTGGAAGGCAGGGCTGATTGCAGTCACTCGGCACCTTTCTGCAAGTTCTGCTTCTACTTACAAAACCTTGTGATCCAGGTAGCAGCATCCCAGACATTTTTTTTACATTAGCATATGTGTGGGGTTTTTTTGTTTTTTTGTTTTTTTTTAAAGAAAAAACCTATCTGGGCTACGGTCAGCATTCCTTTCAATTATGAAACTGCATATTATGTTCCGGTGTGGAATGCAGCCTGCCACTATTTTTAAACTTAGAAATAACTGCACTGTCGTCATCCCACAGTTTGAGAGATTCAGAAGCAAACAGCAGAGAGGCTGATGGTTGCCGTAGTGAGCGCGAGTGGCAGATGTGGGACAGAGCCGCGTTCCCGTGGCAGTGGTGAATCCGACCCATTGCCAAGTCTGTCGCCCTCTCATGCGTTGGTGAGGTCGATGTGTGGCTGCTTTCCTAGGTCAGATCAGCCCTCGTGTTGACAGCTCTATTCAGTGCGCTGAGAAAATGTAGTTTTTTGTGTTGTTTTAGATAGTAATGCGCAGCTGAATCTTTGCATTTTAGCATTAGATTTAATAGGAAGTTTTATGCTGGTTAACTTAAGTCAGCAGCTAGTGCGAGAGTTGATTTATAAGCCTCACAGCATTAGAGAGTTATGAAACCAAAATGTTAGGGCTAGAAGGGATTTAAGGAATTATCTAACCTTGGAGAGGCAACTAGATTTCCTTCCTGTACAACAAGCACAATCTGAAGAACTGGTGGTGACTGTCACAGGCGTGAGAAGTGCATGGGCGTGTGCCTACGAGGCCTCTCTATTCTGGTTCATCCTGCTTTAACCGAGGCCCAAAAGATTATAAGTCTTGTCTAGAGTGGCAGCTACTAGTTAGTGCTGGGGCTAGATTATACCTGTCTTGAGTACAGTTCATGTTTTTTTGTTTTGTTGTTGTTGTGGTTGTGGTTGTTTTTAATAGGATATTAAAATATTTGTTTCTTTTTTTCTTTAATATATTTTATTGATTTTTTACAGAGGGGAAGGGAGAGGGATAGAGAGTTAGAAACATCGATGAGAGAGAAACATCAATCAGCTGCCTCATGCACACCCCCTACTGGGGATGTGCCTGCAACCAAGGTACATGCCCTTGACCAGAATCCAACCTGGGACCCTTCAGTCTGCAGTCCGACACTCTATCCACTGAGCCAAACCGGTTAGGGCTTTTGTTTTTATCCAAACTAAATCACATAACCTTAGTATATGGTATTTAAAAAAAAAAAAAAGGATGGTGTCATCTCATATTTGTGTATGCTGCTACGGAGACTTAAACTTCATCAGAGCCAGCCAAGTCCTGACATTCAGTCAGTGTGCTGAAAGGAGCGTGGCAGTGATGTTTACGGAAGGAAATACTCCATAAAATTCCTGGCCGAGGGGCGGACATGGAACTACATGCTGAACTCTATCAGTGATGCACTAAATGCCGGTCTGAACCTTGGTCACAGATAGCGAAACCATGAAACATCACTACAGTGTTACTATTTCCCACTAGGTTTAAATTGAACTTAAAACTGGTGCTTTCAGGCCCCTGACTTTTTAGCCATAATATATTTTTTCTTTAATCTGGCTCAGCCTACTAGGCCATGTGGTCTTCCGGGAAGTCTTCACATTTCTGCGACCCCAGATTGCCAAGCATAGTGTCAGGCACACATTCCGTGATCGGTACATTTTTGTTCATTGAATATTTCTTTAGTGCAAAAGTGTTTAAAGTATTGTGCTGTGAAAAGTAGTGGACATGTGAATGGTCACAATGTCAGGGGCCATATCACCCTATAGGACACTGGATATTTAGCAGTAACAGAGCTAGGATAACCAGAGGACATAATTCCCCTTCCTTCCGTGTTATAACGCCAAAGAAATAGAAATCTGAATATGTAAAAGAGGGAGGGGGGGAAAGAAAGAAAAGAGGGAGCAGAAAAATAGAAAAAAAAATAGAAGAATTATCTCTTGGCCACGACCCCTTTCAAAGAGTGACCAAAAATATGGTTGAATGGGCTAAAACTGAATCATCAGTGGCAAGAAGATAGAGATGGAAGCTCTACAATCTCAACTTTCCTATAGAAAGAGGACTTCTTGGGTTCTGTTTCTTTTGACATAGACTTTCCATCTTTCTTTGATATATTTTTAATCTTGTAAAGAGAAGCAAAGCACAGATGAATGGTACACTCGTATGAAAGAGGGCCCGTGAAAAAAGTGTAGTTGTCCCCATCACCAGCACTGGCTGTGATCCGTCTACCTTGAACTTCATGCGGTGCAAGTTTGACCTGCTCATCCATGAAGAACATGTCATGTGTCCACACCCAAAGCGGGGAGGCGAGTGGGGCTGATGACCAAAAGCAGATGATCCTCCTGGGAAATGTAATTTGTCCCAGATCTGCTTTTTCCTCCCTTTCTGTGACTGAACATGTCTTTAATATTGGCGTGGGGATTGAGCTGGCTACGTGCTTATGGTCTCCCAGCCTCACGCTGTGGAGATGTTGAAGGAGCTGAGCAGCATAATTAAGTGTGGGTTAAGTAATTCCTTCTGTCCCAATTACTATGAAAGTCATTTGCACGGCCAGCATAACTGCATAATGTTCATAGTTCCGTAATAACTAGAGCCAGGCCTCAGAGTTTTACCTGTATTGCTTCAGTCATTCTCGCCACCAACACTGTGGAGGGAAGGTATGTTTATTGTCCCCATTTTGCAGACGAGGACACTGAGGCACAGGATGAGTGTCTTCCCCAGGGTCTTAAACAGCCCCTATGGAGCAGAGCCAGAATGTGAACTCTCGTACAGGGCTCTGTGGCCTCTTAGAGAAGTCAGAATATGTTTGAGTTTAGAATCAGGAGGGATGATGATCCATGTGGAAGTTGAGGCCTCTCTCGGGGCTCTGGGTTTCTCTGTTGTTTCTGTGGCCAGTGCTAACGGCATGGGCTTTGGCCATACAAGGCTGGTTCCTTGGGCTTCCAGCTGGGTCCCAGGGAGTCTATAAATAGAAGCACTAACGGCCTCGCCTGGTGTTTTGGCAGCGGTTCTGCCTGAACACCCTGCAGCACGAGTGGTTCCGCGTGTCCAGCCAGAAATCGGCGGTCCCGGCCATGGTGGGGGACTACCTGGCGGCCTTCGCAGCCGTGTCCCCCGAGGTCCTGCGCCATGTCATCAACATGGCAGACGGCAACGGCAACACGGCCCTGCACTACAGCGTGTCGCACTCCAACTTCGAGATCGTCAAGCTGCTCCTGGACGCGGGTACGTGGCCGCGGGCTCCTCTCTCACAGCACCCACCCGGGGTGCTTGGTCAGCGCCTCCATGCTGTGCCATCCTGCAATCCTCCCCATTGCTCCTCCACATGGTGAGGCAGGCAGCGCCTGACTCCTCGTGGGAGGCGTGGCGCGGAAACGAAACAGGGTGACAGACTCCAGATCTGTGTCGAGCGGAGGTTTGGAGGATATTCTTGCTGCAGTTCAGCTGCATGCGAGCGAGTGGTGAGCGAAGGGCATCCCTGGGCCGCCGTTCCCGCTGCTGGAGTCGTGCAAGGGCAGCGGGTTGGCTCCCAGGAGGCTGGGCTGCTCCCTCTGTCCTTGCTCCACGACCTCCAGCCAACTGGCTCAGGGAGGTGTGTGGGGACCAAGCAAAGGCACTGTGATAGATTATGTAGAATCATCCACGTTTCCGCCAAAATACACCCAGTTATTGGAAAATCAGCATAGAGCGAAGGAAGTGTTACTCCTGAATCTGAACCATAGTCGTGAGAATTGTGGAGATTCTGGTTTATAACCGGAACTTGACATCTCAGACTATTGCCAATGGATGTATTAAAGAGGAAGCGAGGGGGTGCTGCTACATAGAAGGGTCCCCTTTGAGAAATTCTGAGCTTTCAACTTGTTATTCAAATGGAGCAGCCCAGTGGTACATATAGTTCCCAAAGCATTTTGATGTATATGTTTATTATTTATTTATTTTATTGTTGACACTATTGCAGATTCCCCCCCATTTTGTCCCCCGCCCCCCAGGCTCATTTTGATTTATTTTTGAAATCCCTATTTCCACTTCTGTGATGTGGCTGACACAGAGTTCACAGTGCCTCGGTGTCATTAATGAACACACAGTGTGGACAGCTGATTTAGAAAATGACTGTAAAGTTGCCCGGTTTTCCTATGCTACTGCTTGACCCAGCAGCCCAACTTTTTCTGCTCTGTTTTGTGGATGTTGGATTAATGCAGGGAAGAAACCAGGCAGATTTGTCCACTTTTCTCTTCAAAGCTTGCTTGTTCCCGGCGTAGGGGCCATGTTAGGATAAAACTGCTTCCGTGTTTCAGGAAGGAATTCCAAGCCGCCTTCCCTTCAGGCTTTCCAGACCGTAAACAGAGCTGGTGATACTGTCAGCCCTAGTTATTGTTTAAACAGAGAAGTGGACAATATCCAGGAAAGCAAAAAACAGGATTACTCCTGAAAGTGATGATTCAACCTAGCCTTGGATATTTTGTGCGGATAAGATATTTTGGTAAATTAAGTGATTTTAGTTAATTCTATTGTTGGATGCCTTTGGTTAATCACTTTTCTGATATATATATGTTTTTATTGATTTTAGAGAGAGAGGAGGGAAAAGGATAGAATCATCGATCAGCTGCCTCCTGTAGGCCCCCTACTGGGCATGCAGCCCTCAACCTGGGCATGTGACCGGGAATCAAACCAGTGACCTCTGGGTTCATGGGTTGACGCTCAACCACTGAACCACACCGTGTGGCTGGGCTGGATTTACTTTTGACTGATCACCATTATAGGCTGAGATTGTGGCTCCATAAAGTGTGTTTGAACTGAACGTCACAGATGCTGAGGAGCCTCACAGAGCACGTCTGCTCACCCGCTTCTCCATCACACAGCCTTTTCCTTTCCTACATTAAAAAATATGCACTATTGTAGATGCCAGATGTCCCTGGTGTACAGTTGTTTCAGAACTCAGGGAACGTCCTCATGGTACCTCCTCCATGTGATGGAAACAGCCTAACATTTTAACTGCATTTGGTCACACACAAGTGTCTTTCCTGCATCCTCCATTCCTTTCATTTTATTAGTGCGGAAGGAATTTAAAAGGCCTGGAGGATAATGTCACCCCAGAAGACCTCTTAGTAATTATAGGAATAGGAAAGGTCTGGTTTATAGGGTCTCTTAGTCCCTGGCAGTTTGGGACTTGACTGCATTTGCTCTCAGACCACAATTCCCGGAGTAGGTGTCGTGTGATTGAAATTATGCTTCTAAGGGCCTCACACACGTCTGATGAGTAAAGCCTGGGCCGGAGAATGAGTCGTGGTTTCATATTCAGATTCCGTACACAATCCTTTACAGATCCTTGTCACTTGTAGCTCTCACTGCCTTCTTCACTCCACAACAGTGATTTCCTAAACACAGATCAATGTCCAATCGCCACATTATAGTTTATCCTTCACAGCAACCATTCCTTAGAAATAACCTCCCAGACAGCCATGCGATTCCAGTTCGGCTGCCAGTTGCAAACAAGACATGTTCTGAAAGCTCATTGTAGCTCCTGGCCTCATGAAATAAAAATAATAATTTTTTTGTGTGACATAAAAACATCCCTCACATTTCCTTCCAAGTCACTCCTGTACTTGTCATTGGGTTCTTCCAAACACCATACCTTCAGTTCCTATTAGGAGATGAATTGTCCCTAAACAAGACTCCTGTCGCTGCAGACGTGTGCAACGTGGATCACCAGAACAAGGCGGGCTACACCCCCATCATGCTGGCAGCCCTGGCCGCCGTGGAAGCGGAGAAGGACATGCGGGTGGTGGAGGAACTCTTTGGCTGTGGGGATGTGAACGCCAAAGCTAGCCAGGTGAGCGCACTTTCTTCCCAGGCTCGTTCGTGTCCGTGCTTGCTAGCACAGCTCTGACCTGCACGGCTTCCCACACCCCCTCCCACCACTGAGCACTCACTCACTGGCCCAGCCCCGAGTCCACGTGGCCACCTGGCAGCCCTAGACGACCCCTAGACAACCAAGCGCACAATGAAATACTGGCCTAAACTTCCCACTGGAAACTTCTCCGTCCTTTGCCTCTGTTTGGAGCCGTGTGCACGGAAACTGTAGGTCAGCCTGCGTATCGGTGACTGCGAGTCCCTGCATCGACCAGGTGACTAGTGTCTGCATGCCGGGTGCCCCTAGTTCAGATGTGTTCATAGTTTGACATGGTTAACCATCTGCTGACTTTCCAGCTCCTTGATATAATGAGACAGAGTCTCCAGGCTAAAGGGAAAAAGTGACTCGATACGTTATGATCTAACATATTAACTTAGCTCATCGCTCATGAGAAGCTGATTGCTCCATGCCTGCCTCCACCCGAATGCTTCCACGTCCATTTTTTCCCCTCTGTCACCACACTCCCTCCTCTCCCCCACTCCACCCCCCGCTCCTCACCCCCAGCACATTTTTTAGCACAGCCCCCCCCCCCATAGGCCACACCCTGCCGGCCCGGTATGCACTTCTGAAGTTCACTGCCATTTCTCTGCGCAGGCAGGACAGACAGCCCTCATGCTGGCGGTCAGCCATGGGCGGATAGACATGGTGAAGGGCCTGCTGGCCTGCGGTGCTGACGTGAACATCCAGGACGATGAGGGTTCCACCGCCCTGATGTGTGCCAGCGAGCACGGGCACGTGGAGATCGTCAAGCTGCTGCTGGCCCAGCCCGGCTGCAACGGCCATCTGGAGGACAACGTGAGCGTCTCCCTGGGGCCGGGGGCCCACAAGGCCAGGGGGGGGTGGAGCTCTGTGAGTGCTGCTTGGCCGGGGGCAGAAAACAAATCCTCCTTGATTCTCCTTGAGGATTTGTGTTGCCACCCAGGCCACCTCTCTTCATGGCCCAGCTTGGCAGCATTTATTGTGTGCCAACTAATACTCCATTAACTAAAGCCAAAGGCCGAGTGATAAATGGACCTCACCCCCAAATTTACTAAAGGAAGGAGGTGCTGGGCAGGCACGAGAACCAGCCTATTAAAGGGGAATGAACAGATTTACAATACAGAATCAGATGTAGGCACTTCTAAGTCCACTGAGAGGACCAGGTCCCCATTCCATTTGGAAATCCGGATTGCCAGCCACTACCAGTTGGGGTTATTGGGTAACTAGAACCGTTATTACTACAGTTAAACACTTTCCCAGGAAAATGAAGTAAAGGCAAGTGTGCCCGTCACCAGGGCCCACGGGAGTGACGTTGCGTCAGCCAGGGGAGCCGGCCGGTCTTGGCTCCCTTCACATCTTTCCACTCCTGCTTGGGCTGGTCCATCAGCACCGTTCTAATCTCCTCTCGCAGGTGCTAAGCTGTCCCCCCTCCCAGATAACCCTTGACTGGGAGCCTCCTAAGGAAAGCTGCTTCTCTCATAGGAACTAACATGTGGGTGGTGACAGGGTTGAAAGGGCCAGAGGTCAGAGAGGTCGGGCTGGGTTGGCTCTGTTTTGAAAAGTTTATCTCTGTGGAGCACAGGTTGGGACCAGAGCTTCCTCTAACTGGAAACACTAAAAAGTGAGAGGGGAAAAAACATCCTTCTTCGCACTGAACCTCAGGTCCCGGTGGGCCCCAGGCAGCAGGAAGAGCAGCCAGTGCGGGGATTGGCAGGCGCGGTGGCTGCACAGGAGCGGAACCGCAGTCCCGCCTCATTCCCTCACCTCCGCCCGAGCAGAGGGAGCATTTCCAACCTGTTCCCTCAAGAACACTGTTCCGTGTGTCTTGGTTTTTGTTGGTTGGCTTTTGCTTCTACTCTCTTTCAGCAAAGAATGGCTTGTGGGTGTAGTAATACGAGGCCCTAGAGCAGCTGTGGGCAAACTACAGCCAAGGGCCGGATCCCGCCCGTTTGAAATGAATAAAATACCCTTTTATGTAATGATGTTTACTTTGAATTTATATTAGTTCACACAAACACTCCATCCATGCTTTTGTTCCGGCCCTCCGGTCCAGTTTAAGAACCCATTGTGGCCCTCGAGTCAAAAAGTTTGCCCACCCCTGCCCTAGAGCCACAGTGACTTCCAGACATCCTGGTCACCAGCTAATCGTCTACTTCCTCATCCTTAAGGGAGTGGGAGGCATCTTTATTCCAATCCTAGACAGAAACTAAGTTGTGGTGTTTTTTGCCTTGATGCTCTTTTATATCCATCTAAATCCCTGCAGTTTTAATAGAAACCAAACATTTTACTGATAATTTTTCTTTCCCATATGTAGTGTTTTCCACATATTTCCATAAGATACATTTCTTTTTTAAAAATTACTTTTATTGAGTTTAGAGAGTGGGGAAGGAGGAAGAGGGGAGGGAGGGATGGAGGGAGAGAGAGAGAGAGAGAGAGCCATCAACTTGTTATTCCACTTATTTGTACGTTCATTGGTTGATTCTTGTATGTGCCCTGATCAGGAATCAAACCTGCAATCTTGGCATATCTGGATGTCACTCTAACCACTTGAGCCACACAGCCAGGACCCCATAAGATACATGGCTGCAAGCCAGCAGGATTCAGTGCTTCTGCATTGATGTTACTCACACATCCCACAGGGTGGTTAGGGATGCAGGACCAGCTCTATCCCCAAGAGGAAAATTAAGAGACCTTAGGCAAGATGTCAACACATACACCATGGTACATGCCTGCTGCTCATTTGTAATTACAAGGGGGGAAAAATATTAAAATATGTTTCTACCTCCATCTCCTACTGTCCCCCGCTGGTGGGCACAGTGATTGAATGAGACTTCTCCATGGGCAGCCTACATTGTCCAGGGCCCACAGTGTGCAGGCCTGTACACTAACCACTGTGAGGCAAAGACAGGGGAACGGGTGACTGTCCTGTTGACTGTGATTTCCTTAGGGTGCGGACTGTGCCTCATTCGTCCTTGTATTCGTAGAGCTTAGCACGTCAAGGTTCAGAAAAGTTCCCTTTTAAAGGACTGAACCAATGGCTAGATTTGGGGGACCATGTCAGTTACTGGAGGGTGTTTTGTTTTGTTACCTCTGGCTGTCTGGACGTCTGAGAAATCCAACCTGGCTCATTCTTTTCATCTTTAAGGATGGCAGCACCGCACTTTCGATCGCTCTGGAAGCAGGACACAAGGACATCGCCGTCCTCCTCTATGCCCACGTCAACTTCGCCAAAGCCCAGTCTCCGGTCAGTGTTGTGCGTTTGGCATTTGTTAGCAGGCTGAAATCCACCAGACAGGTGGGCCCCTTCCTCTGGGAGTTGACGAGAGGGAGTTTTCTGAGGATTCTGAAAATGGAAGTTTTAGCCTGGAACCTAAGACTCCATCACTTTTACCCCGACCCAGAAGGCCAGGAGTGCTAATGGTTAGCACAGCGGAGAAGGGACCCCTGCTTGTCCTCAGGGGACACACACTCTCACACCCTCACATGAAGGGCTTATTCTGGGCAGAATTATTCAAATGGCACATTCCCAGCCAACTAACACATATCGCCATGCTCCCGCCATTTCTTGTAATGCAGATAGTGTGAATAGCAACCTGTGGTCCCAGAATCCACTCTTAGCAGGAAGTCGCCTTCCCAGGGACAGCTGGTCACAGCACTGCTGAGCTCAGCTGGCTCCTGAGCGCCTCCTGCTGGCGGACCTGTGTTCTGTGTTCCAGCTCCCGCTCTGGCTCTGGCTCACCAGTGGTTGTCAACCATGGTGGTCCGAGTTCCTATGTCACAGAGGACACACCTGCCTGAGGTCACATACTAACCCCCATTTTTTTTCCTTTCCTGGACTCTAGGGCACCCCTCGGCTTGGAAGGAAGACATCTCCTGGTCCCACCCACCGAGGTTCTTTTGATTGATTTATGTACAAATAGCCATCCATTTACATGCCACCATTAAGCTGCTAACTGTTCCTGTTGGGGTGACAGATACTGAATGTATGCATATTGTGCCTGAGCTCACCAGCAAACAGGACGCAAAAGGCCAAGGACCGAAGGCTGGAAGCTGTCACGGTGGAAGCTGAGCCAGCAAGAGATTGCCGGCAGGCACCCACCGCCTCCCTCCCGGCCATCTTCCCTCTGTGGAGGGCACACTTGACCCCAGTCGCTGTCGCTGTTGAGTCTCTGCTCCGTTATGAACAGTCGTAGGAAACTGTCACCTGACCTGAGCAGGCAACTTCTGCGCCTTCTCTCCACCCGCCCCCACCACCCCTGCTGAGAGTGTCAGGTTCTCACTGGCACAATGTTTCCAATTTCTCCTCCAGTGTTTATATTGACTGGCGTGGAACGATTGGAAAGCTCTTCAGAAATTCCATTCCAGGATGGTTTTGTTGATGTTTTTTTGTCTGTATTATTCTAAAGCAAGTTGAGGTGACTTTGGTCATCAGCAACTTGGGCCTGGGCTGGTAGGTTTCTGGGTTAAAATGAAAAGATGGAACTCTTAAAAAAGTATAACACGTACAAAAGGAAATCTTTTCAGTTGGTTTTATCTCGGTGGATGTATTATATGACTTTTTATATAAAAGGTATCTATATGAAAGTGACACAGTATTTTCAACTTTTATATTCCATGGTAATAAAAGACATGAAGAACTACATGTAACAGTACCATATTTTTTTATTAATAATTGCACAACTCTATTACCTGATGATAAAGGTTGAATTGTGTTAGAGGAATTGGCTATATATTCGCCTCTAGAGAAACATGGCGTAGTTCTCCACGTTATTTATGGATTCCTTTATACCATGTCACACTTACCATGGTCTTATATGTATTTAAATGTTTGAAGTGCCTTAGACTCTTGCCATATTTTCAAAATAAAATTTCATTAAGCTCTCTGCTTGTCCCTGCTTCATCTCTGACAGCTGTGTGCCCGATGCGATTGACTTGCAGCAGTGGCAGCACCAGCTGACGGATTGCACGGGGAGGCCGAGCGCCCGGCCTGCCGGTCGTGCACTCCGACAACAAAAGACACCTTCTGAGAGCGCCACAGCTCTGCTCAGCACTCAGGTTGCACGTCACGAGTCTGAAATTTAAGACCTCGTTAGGCAAGCAGTTCACCAGACAGGTAATCTCCAAGGGGAGCCGGTGAGCTCGCTCTTCTCACGTGCAGAAGCAGCACACCTTGGTTCCGAGTCCGGTGGAAACCCGTGACGATAGGAAAGGAGAGACGGAGCCAGGCGGGCTTTTTATTTCAGACAGCTGATGGCCCGGCAGCACCTGTTTCCAAGTCCTTTCTAAAAAGTCACGGCGCTCGAGTCCATCTGATTAGAGCAGCGGTTCTCAACCTGTGGGTCGCGACCCCTTTGGCGGTCGAACGACCCTTTCACAGGGGTCGCCTAAGACCATCTTGCATATCAGATATTTACATTACGATTCATAACAGTAGCAACATTACAGTTATGAATTAGCAACGAAAATAATTTTATGGTTGGGTCACAACGTGAGGAACTGTATTTAAAGGGCCAGAAGGTTGAGAACCACTGGATTCGAATGAAGAGGCGTGGTGGCCAGAATGCACATGAGGTGTTTGGGCAGAGTGGCTGGTGGTGGGTTTTTAACCCAGGTCATCCGTGAGAGCCAGGTGCATCGCAAAACGATCACTGAGGCTTTTCTTCAACCTTTATTTTCCTTCTTCCTCTCCTTCCTTCCTTTCTTTTGTTCATTCATCACTGAGCTCAAGAATAAGGCCAGAGACTAGAGTTTTCCATCAGGTGTGTGTCATCACTGTGCTTGCACTGGACAGCCTGCTTTCACGAGCTCAGGCGTTGGCACCTTGGAGAGAAGAATTTTGGAGGCGCTAGAGAAACATTGCTGGCAATTCAGGCCAATGCGGGGCGGTAACAGGGACGGCTCAGTTCACGCCGGGGCCTCTGGGCAGAAGGGCCGTTCTCTTCCATGCAGCATGAAAATGAGGCCACAGGTGCCGGGGTCACAAGCATCTCTTTCCCTCCTGGGACAGATCCGCCAGCTCTGGGATTTGGGCTACACTTCGGTTCAGATAGTTATTTAAGGCCAAGTTCCGTCAGATCTGAAGTCGCACAGCAAATTAAAGCAGGAGAGCGTTTGTGTTTGAAGAAAAGTGGGGCTGTGAGTTTCCTGCCTCTTAACGGCCTGGCCTGCCTTTTGAGCAAGGAGGCCTGTATCTCAGGTGGTTTGTGATCCTGAGAATTTTCTCTGTTGCATTTGAGAAAGGAAGGCGATTTTGTCGGTGCCGGAGAAAATGAATTCCTACATCTGTGTGCTGCATTTCAGACTTCTTGTGCTAAATTTTGCAAAAAGAAAACGAGTGCTTGTTCTGCCGCGGAGTGAGGTCTTCTTCAGTACACATCTAGCTTCTGGGTAATGTCTGCTGCCTGTCTGCTGCCTTGGGCCTTGTTTGCTCTGCTAACACTGGGCACTTTGAATGCTTTTTATCACGGGATCTTGGCACACTGTATTAACCAGCCTGAGTCTCCCCGTTGGCACAGCTGCAATTTATTGAGGCACAAATACAGAAAGGGGTTTGTGGGGGGACGCTTGGGCAAGGTCCCCCAAGAGAGGCTGGCAGAGGGCTGGAGAGACCTGATTTTATTTTCCAGCTTTATGGAAAAGCCAGTTTTCCAGACACCCTTGCCCTGGAAATTAAGAAGCTGAAGGCCAGCCCTGGCTGGGTAGCTCAGTTGGTTGGAGGGTCATCCCATGCACCAAGGGTTTGCAGGTTCAATTCCCAGTCAGGGCACTTACCTAAGTTGTGGGTTCGATCCCCAGTTGAGGTGGGTACAGGTGGCAACCAGTTAACATTTCTCTCTCTCTCTGATGTTTCCCCACCCTCTCTAAAATCAATAAACATATCTTCAGGTGAGGGTTTAAAAAAAAAGAAGCTGAAGGCCAGAGTTCACCCCAAGACTCAAGGAATAGAGCAATGGGAACTTTGAGACTTTAATGTTAAGTAAAACTGACAACTTGTCCTGCTGTTAGGACTAAACCCTATACTTATTGCAGTGGTGGGCCTTGCTTCTGGAGAAAGTTACCCCCAACACACTATCTAGCACTATCCCCACAATAAATGACATGTTGGGTCCCTATCAGTAATTTTTGATACTCCCATGAGCACAGTTTTACCCCTGACTTATATAACACTGAAATACTGCAGATACGTGTTAATCCTTGCAGACAGAATCAGGTAAGAAAACTGCAATTTTCCCCTCAAGGGAAATAATAAACAGATGAGCCGTAATCTTTCTTTAAATGCTCATGGGTCCCTTTGAGGGGGAAGCCGGTTGCAAGCGGAGATACCTTTATTTCTGTGACACTTGGTGTGAGCTTCTCCCTTCACAGCATGCATAGGTGTCTCCGGAGGGAGCTGGTGGGCATACAAATTCCGGGCCCCACCCTGCAGATCTGCTTCTTAGGTCTGGGAATCTTTAAGGAGCATCCCTGGTGTTTCTCAGTGTGACCTTTGGTGCACGCTGAGAATTTATTACTCCTAAATTATGAGAACACTACCCTTAAGTTCTTTTCTAAACAAGGTAGGCAGGGTGGGGCCTGGAGAAGTAATTTCTAAAAGGCCGGGAACCTGCTGCCACGGATCCATCTGTGTGTGTTTATGGGGGAGGGAGGTGGGGGCAGCTCAGTACATGAGTGACAGCAGCTGAGCAGGCAGTCAGCTCTGGGAATATTTTCCTGTTAATCTTTTCCTTCCCCACTTCCTTGTGAAGCAGCAATGTTCCTGCACAGGAAGAAGGCTGTGACCTGTTGCTCTGGCTTTGGAATAAAGACAGTTTTCTATTTTTTTTTATTTTTTACTGAAAGCGCAGTTTTGGTGCTCTGGCTTTGGAATAAAGACAGTTTTCTATTTTTTACTGAAAGCGCAGTTTTGGTTTTTTTTTTAAAGCCCCGGCCTTAGCCAGAGACTATTTCGTTCTCCTTTGTGCCATGAGGAAATTACTAATCATATGGTAACTCCGTGCTTACTTAGCATGGCTGTCATTTGGAAGCCAGCTGACTATAAAAGTATATTTAAGGCACATCTTGCTGAAGATGATGACCACAAAGGATGTGGCCGAGTGGTTGGCCACAGTGTTCCAGAGCTGCACACACTCTGCCCACCCACCAGAGTCCTGGCCATTTTTTTTTTGAGTGACGGTCAGCCCTCAATGTGACAGATGGACTTAGCACTTCTAATGGTGTCCCAGGACATGGGGCCCGAATGCCAGCAGGGATTTTATAGAGGCAGGAAAGCAAAGCACCATGTTTATGAGCGCGTGCCTGCACTGATATGTCTGATTTTGAAGACATTTGGGGAGAAGCCGGCATTTTAGGAAACCAACTGCCCACTGTCTCTCCATGAAGACCTTTGATCAGTTAATAGGCAAGAAAATGGGAACTATATTCCTAATTTTCAGATCATGGAAGCTGCACAGGAATATCCCTAAAACCAAATGCCAATCTTGTATTTGGGCCAAAATAAATTTCACTTGTTCCTCATTCCCCAACCAGTTAACCCAGCCCTAGACCCACCTGGAAGGGCGAGGCTATACAAAAGGGAGAGAGAAAACAACTTGTGTTCAACGCTGGAAAGGTTGGCTGTGGGAGACGCAGTGGCGACTGGGCGGGTCACTTATTCGTCATCTGTCAGGCGGCAGCGATTCTAGCTATGATGGCATCTGCCCTGGTAGGAAGTACGGAATGTGCGCAAGTAAACAGGTAATAAAGATAATATTCACTAAATTGGTTGAGTCCCTGAGAGTTCGGAGAGCTCATGGCCCAACCCCGTCCAAAACGTGTTACCCCACCCCCCACCCCCGAAAGCCAGTCTTCCTCCGGGCAGCTCACAGAGATCGGCTCCTGTGCTTGGGTTTGTCACACCACCTGCCAGGGCTGGGAAGTCTTGCTGCCTGGCGGATACATGCTAGTCGAATGCATGTGTGTAAAAAAATAATTGAAGCGTGATGTTGGAAATCAGGAGAGTGTTACCGTTAGGAAGGGGGGAGGAGATGGCTGGGAGGGAGCCTGAGGGGCTGCTGAGTGCCCGATGACTGTCCATTTCTTAGCCTTGAGGTAGCTACACTGCCATGTCCACTTTGTGGTAACTCATCAGGCTGTATCCTCAGGATTTGTGCACTTTCCTGTGTGTATATTAACTTCATTTTTTAAAATATAAAGAATGAAAAAGTTTGGTCAAAAAAGACCGTGGGGGGACGGTATAGATTTTGTTGATTTGAAGATCAGTGGGAACAAAGAGGCAGTGACTATAAAACGGAGAAGCCGTGGCCTTGCCTTTTCTTTACTGTTAACATGCAGCGTTGCATCCGATGCTACCGGGGCCCAGGCGTAACCTTGTACAGTGGTCACTCGGGCTGTTCTCAGGCACTCGCGTCCTCTTCTGGGTGCTGCTCCCCTGCTTTGGAAGTTAGGCCTGGCATCTCCTCTTCCCCATCAGCCTGGGTTCCTGAGTGACGAGTAGAGTTCCCTTGCTGACCTGTGTTACCAGGTGTATTGGGGGCAAGAAATAAACCTTTATCATGATAAGGTAGGGACGTCTGCAAGAGGTTTGTTGCCACAGCATAGCTTAGGTTTTCTTTATTGGTATAGAAAGTGGGTGCTGCTGTAACCAGGTGGCTTAGATGCTGATTCGTGGCCAGCAAGGGCGTTGCCAGTGGAGACTCAGTCACAGAACATGGGAGAGTATTTGAATAATGCTTTTCTTTTTTAAAAGATATTTTTATTGATATCAGAGAGGAAGGGAGACAGAGAGGGAGATAGAAACATCAATGATGAGAAAGAATCATTGATCAGCTGCCTCCTGCACACCCACTACAGGGGATCAAGTCTGCAACCCTGGGCATGTGTCC